AACTTGATAATTATATTGTACAAACTTGATAATTATATTGTACAAACATGATAATTACATTGTACAAATGTGATAATTATATTGTAAAAACATGATAATTATATTGTACAAATGTGATAATTATATTGTAAAAACATGATAATTATATTGTACAAACTTGATAATTATATTGTACAAACTTGATCATTTCATCCATGCTGCAGTAGTAGGTTATGCTTTTAGCCTGCATGCTAGTACATACTCATGAAGCTAGCACGATGGCAAATTGACAGATGTTAATCAAGTTTTACTTCGAAGACATGGAGAGAATCTGATGCTGCTGCACACTGTGGATGAAATCATTTTCAGTTTGAGCACACTTTGAAGAGTCACTGTGGTAAAGCTTTCCCCGGATTCAGAAACCTTACTGTTGCTCACATCCAGAGTGCTCGATTACTACAACCTTTACAGCTGGGCTGTATTTGCGCTGTTGTATATGGCCCCTGTTTAAAGGTGAATAACATACAAAAAAGCAACATTTCACCTAGATTTTCTTACTTTGATTCCACACTTTTAAAGTATGTTTCTCACCAAGTTTGTGTAAATTCAGCTGTGGGGTTTTAAAGACTTTTCAACTTTAATGTACTTTAATACACAGTGTCAGGTCGGCACTACTTGTGTTTATAGGCAAATTAAATCAAATACAACAACATTAACAGTAGACTTTTACCACAACATATTGTCCTCAAACTGGGTGAGAAACATCCTTTAAATGAGTAGTGTTGAACACAAGTAAAAAGTTTAAAGGTAATGTTGTTTTTTATTTAATTTGCCTATAAACACAAGTAGTGCCAACCTGAAGATGTTTGTTAAAGTGCATTAAAGTTGAAATGCCTTTAACTCCAAAGATCCTGAACTGGATCAGTTCCCTCTAAGCAGTACACACATAATTAGGATTCTATTTTAAGCTCATAAATTTAAACAAATAATGCAGGAGAAGACTGATTCTGCTTTTGTTTTATAGTTTGGCGTGGAGCTCTTTCACGGCCTGCATGGCGTCCTCCGTCACCACCATCAACCGCTACACCAAGACCATCCTGGAGTTCAAGCACAAGCGCAGGAACATTGAGAAGAACCTGAAGATCAAACAGAAGCTGTTGGAGCTGGACTCCCCAGAGCAAGTGTGGGACATGTACATCAGCTCGGTGCCGAGCACCGCCGAAGAGCTGCTGGACCTGTCGACGAACAGCCGCAAGCTCTCCAACGCGTCCATCTTCCTGGACCTCAACGACTTGCCAGATCCACAAGGAGAGGAGTACTGCTAGGAGAGCAGAGGGTTCTGAAACATCGCTTCAGTGCGACAACGGTGGGAACAAAATCTGTTCTACCACATCTCTTTTCACATGATACCTTCAGCTTTAAATGTTTTGCTCTTCACCAGCTCCAGCTGTGATCAGAGGTTTATAGACACTCATCCTGGGGATAATGTCATGGTAACTTTAAATGGTTTGTTTGTACTGTTCTTTTTCCAGGGTTTATACAACATGGGGCTACAACAAGTTTTACATTCGTATGGATTTTCTCTAAATTACACAGAGACAAAATTACACAGTACAAAAAATTATCTAGATCTTTAAATAAAGGTGGTGAAGGTTGTTAAAAGTCTTAACTTGACAAGGCTACAGCTTCGTAGCTTCCTGTTTGTGATCATGATTGATAAAGGTTTAATGGTCAGGTGAGACACAATCTTTTGGCTTGAATTATATGGATGCAACGAAAAACTATGGAGGAGCATAAGACGTGTTTTGGAAGAGTCAAGGAGGGGACTCTAAGACCACTTCACCAATTCTCAAGCATGGTGGTGGTAGCATCACGCTGCGGTACGAGGAATACCTCCAAACTCTTGAACTTCGCCTCAAATCAACAGGGAAAAGGTTGAACTGACCATTTTAGGTGTTCCACAGAACCCAAACGCATCTAAACTGGTTTCTGCTTGGATAAAGCTGCTAACATTAAACTTCTGGAATGGCCTTCGAAAACCCCGTTCTCAGCCTGATTGCAAAGTTATGATCGTTACTGAAAACTTTGGTCCATGCCAGGAAATTAACTACTTTAAATGAACGAACTCTGCCAGAGAGTGGTCCTTTATCTCGACAGAAGCGTGTTAATGGGTACAAAAAGTGTGAGGTCAATGTATAGCATTTCTGTTGGAAAATATGAGCCACAGACATGAACTGTGTCATATACACAAACATATAGGCCTCAAATAAGTAATGCTAAGTTGCTAGCAGTTAGCTTCCCCAAAATACTCAGAAAAGGCATCGAACGATGATTGCACTTAAAAAATACTTGGTGACTCTTTAATCAAATATTAATGGGGGTGTAGGTATATACAAGAATATGAGTTGTATGTATAATATGGACCTTGTGTGAATTAGAGAAACTTCACCATAAATTGAAACTTTTCCACCCAATATTTGTTTTTAACGATCATTAAAGTTGCATGAGAGAGTGGGAATTATGTCCCATTCGGTTTTCCATACAATCATTTCTTTTGGTCTTTTCCTTCAGCTGATCTGAAACAAACATGACCAGAAACAATCCTTTCCTGCTTTGCTCTGGCAAAGAATGTTTTAGATGGTATATTCTTCCACTGCTTATGTCTTGTGACAGCTAGCAAAAAGAATTGATTAAAAAAGATGTGTGCCCTCTTTTAGATGAAAGCAACACGACTAAATTATTCTTTGTCTTTGACCTGACTGAACATTGTTGGATTATAGAGCATGGACTTTGGTATTCTTAGTCTGGTTGTGTGTATTTGTTTCTGGTGTCTGTACTGTTCAGTATGAATACATGTACTGTTACACCTTTAATGAACGTGCACGTGTAAGAAGTCCCGCTACGACATTAAAATCAAAACTTGGGAAAGTAACGGGGTTGTTTCCCAGTTTGCAACAAGTTAAAGTACCAGGCTTTTGAAAACACAGTGGTCTTTATGTTCCTGGTGTTCTTCTACAAAGCTGAATTACATGACGTACGTTCACTATGTAGGTTCTGTAAGAACAAGCTGAGAATCAAACCAAACGTCAGAACTATTTATAGAAGGACTTTGACATCCTTATCCTCTCTGCTAATACTTTACCATCTAAAGCAAGCGTGCCCGAGACACTAAAGGTTTTGGATTTGACCCATTGAAGAAGGTGTACAAAGTTAAAACGTGTAGATACCAACCCCACTGATAAAGACTTGTTGTGTAAGAGTGACGATACACTGCCTTCCTTACAAACCAAATTAACAAGATTTTGAGTGTTTGTACTCATGTACGAAGCAGAGTCTGGACTGATGCTTCAAGGTTTCTATCTACAACGAGTGGACCTGAGGACTTTACCGTTGCACCTAGCAGTGGAACAAAAGCTGCCAGTATGATGATTTGGGTGGAGGACACCAGGAAGTGCTGAGTGCCTTTTTGCCATCCAGAAGCCTCTGATCACACAGCATGCTTTGATTTGGCTGAAGCTGTTTCTCTGCCTGTCCGCTTCAGAGGAAACGTGTAGCTGTCTGTGCAAAATGCCAAAACTCATCAGTGGGAGGAAGGCTCTTATTCTGAAGTAGTCTGTGTGTATTTAAATGTTTTATTAAAAATGTGGTACTTGTACTGAAAAATACACATCTGAATTTCTATCTATGTGCAAGTTAAGTGCATTTGAAAAAAGAAGTTTGTGTATTTTATTGTTCATTTCTTTGTGAAATGCAATGTCAGTGACTTCCCAATATATTCTGCTTGAGTTTAAATTATTTTCCACCAGCTTGTGTTCCAGTAAGGCTAAAGCATGAATCTTTTTCTTATTCTGTATTCATCATAACCCACAGGATTTAGTCTCCATCTGTGTGTAGTATTCCTTGTTTACATCATTTGTTGATGATTATTTGCAACCTAATACAAAAATATGAATGAAATAATTATTAAAGTAAATTTTATGCATATAACGTAATAAAACGGGTTTTTTAAATAATTTTGTCACTACTTTTTTCCTTCTTTTTTTTTTAAACTGGGCATTGATGACCTCAAGATGGCAGTGTTAACTTCTAGTTACCACAGATTGGATGCAGAAGGCTTCATTACACTCGTTGTTCTATGTTTTGTTGCTTTGCAGCCTGGAAATTAATTTAATTTAAATATGAGCTAAAGGCAGTGAATCTTCAGAGATCGTCTATCCATCATCTTTACCCGCTTCTTCCTTTTCAGGTCACAGGGGTCACTGGAGTCCATATCCAGGTGTCACTGTGTGAGAGACGAACAGGTCTCCAGTCCATCACAGGGAAACCTGGACAAGGTTCAGTCCATCACAGGGACACCTGGACAAGTCTCTATGTGTCCCTGTGATGGACTGGACACCTGTCCAGGTGTTCCTGTGATGGACTGGAGACCTGTCCCGGGTGTCCCTGTGATGGACTGAACCTTGTCCAGAGTATCCCTGTGATGGACTGGAGACCTGTCCAGGTGTCCCTGTGAGAGACTGGAGACCTGTCCAGAGTGTCTCTGTAATGGACTGAAGACCTGTCCAGCTGTCCATGTGATATTCTGGAGATTTGTCCAGGGTGTCCTCCACCTCTTGCACAGTGATGCTGAAGATAGACACCAGCTCCATGCAACCCAGAAAAAAGTGGGTAAGATGATGGATGTATGGATGTATGGATGGATGGATGGATGGATGTATGGATGGATGGATGGATGGATGGATGGATGGATGGATGGATGGATGGATGGATGGATGGATGGATGGATGGATAAGGGGCATTTTGAAACCCACAACAACAGAAAGTAATGAGCAAACAGGACCATGAGAAAGAAATATCTTTGCTTAAAAATAACTTTTATTTTTATTTTTTTCAACTAGTGCAAATGCATGCAACTGATAAACCAGAGAAAACGTATCAAGAAGCAGGACGCTTCATGCATCACATTCACAGGTATGGCTAGTGATCGGCTGAACTTTCCCGTATTGATTTTCAGTTTTGGTCCAGTTTCGGTCGTCCTCCAGCGGTCCCATTACGTTCCTCAAAGTGCAGCACAGTAGGCTGATTTTAGGGTGGGGGGTGGGGGGTGCTAACCTAAGCAGAGCATACAAATGAGCCAAGTGATCCACATCAGTTCCTTCTACATCCATTTAACCACATTCATTATTCAAGAATACAAACCACTCAGCCACATCTGAGCTCATGCAAACCTTTTCTCCCTCACCCCTCCTCTGCTCGCCACATTAAAGATTCATCCCCCACTTTTTGGAAACAACGGTTGCAGGACACTTCCCAATATAAATGGACTGATTGCTTTTAAATTCTTAAACTCAGGCTCAAGAGTGAGCATGTGGAATCAAATCAGAAATGTTTTACCTGTTGTTGTCCAACTACAGCTGATCTGGAGTCAGGTTTGAATTTCCAAACAAAGACAATACACTGATTTGACTGTTCAACATCTAAGAAGCCACAACCTTAAAGCAAATCCACTCTATTTGCAACTTCTTCACCAATGCTTTGTTTGGTCACAACGTCTGAACATCACCTTCATTGAAAATGATTGACTGACCAACAGACTTGCATGTTCTGATACAGGAGTTCAGTATCGAGTCTCTGAGATGCTCCTTGGCTGGTCAGAGGCACGTGAATGGCTCTCTTTTGTGCACGCTGATCTGTTTGGTCTCAGTCAGACAGTAGCTTTGTACCTTAAGCTTTGAAGTCCACGCAGCCTTAAGGATCACTGCCATCCAAAATCCTGTCCTACCATTTGATAAAAGCGCTGGTTGTGAGGTTTGTAGAATTCCCTAAGTTTCTGGATGACTTCCGGGTCTATGGAGATGTGTGTCCTCCCTTTCGTCTTTCCCAGGCAGTGAGGTTTACTGCTGCCCTCCGGCTTCTTCAAGCAAGGGAAGCCTTTGGTTTTGTTGAAGTAGAAGTGCTTGTCCGTGACTATCCTCTGAAGGCCCAGGAAGTCCTGGACTTTGCCCAGTTCTCCAGCCGGGTCTGAGATGAGCCTCTCCCCACTGACCAGGTGAATCTGAGTCCTTGGGAACCACGTCAGCCAACGCTCCATGTGCTGGGCGTACAAACCGATCCACAGCGGACTCCACGATGAATCAATCTGACCTAAATTAAATGTTGGGGGAGGGGGGGGGGTAGGGGCAGAGAAAAAACCATCAGTAATGTTTTTTTTTATTTGCCTCTCATCGACATAAACAGCCAGAAGAAACGTGACCAGTTAAATATAATACTTTTATTCTGAAAAAGGAGGTAGGATGTGTAAAATGTAAATAAAAATAAAATGCAGATATTTGCAAATGTCATAAACCCATATTTTAGTCACAATAGAACATAGTGAATGTATCAAATGTATACAAAAATTAATTTAACCTTTTTATGAGAACAGTTTATGAAACCTCCAGTACGGGATATTTAATTTACTAAAAATGCAAAAAGCAGTTTTGTTTTTTAGTCTCTGAAGACTATTTATCTACCGCAAGAATCGATCAACAGAGGATGCCATCTCCTCTGTGGTCCACACTGCTCTCACCCAACTGGAGCAGAAGGACTCCTACGTCCATATGCTCTTTGTGGACTTTGCGTCTGCCTTCAACACCATGATCCCCCAAACCCTGATGGACAAACTACTCACACTAGGACTAAGCCCCTCCATTTGCAACTGGGTCCTGGACTTCTTAACCAACAGACCGCAGTCTGTGAGGATCCACAACTTCTCCTCCTCCACCATAACCCTCAGCACTGGCTCTCCTCAGGGCTGTGTGCTGAGCCCCCTCCTGTTCACTCTGCTCACGTATGACTGTGCACCTACCCATCCAGGCTGTCACATTGTAAAGTTTGCAGATGATGGAATGCATCACAAACAATGATGAGTCCGGCTACAGGCAGGAGGTGGAACACCTGGAACGCTGGTGCAGGAAGAACAACCTTTACATCAATGTGAAGAAGACGAAGGAGATGATTGTGGACTTCAGATGGAACAACCCCCCCCTAACATAGGAGGATCTGTGGTGGAAGTGGTCTCCAGCTACAAGTACTTGGGTGTACACATCAATGACAACCTCAGCTGGAGCAACAACACCACCAGCCTGATCAAGAAAGCTCATCAGAGACTCTACTTCCTCAGGCGGCTGAGACGAGCTGGTCTGGGAAGCTCAGTCCTCACCTCCTTCTACAGGTGTGCAGTGGAGAGCATCCTGTGCTCCAGCATCAACGTGTGACATGGAGGCTGCACAGCTGCAGAAAGAAAAGCTTTGCAGAGAGTGGTGAAGGCTGCACAGAAGATGTTGGAGTCAGCCTCCCCACCATAACAGACAGCTACACCTCCAGATGCAGGAAGAGGGCCACCTGCATCATGAAGGACCCCACTCACCCAGCACACACACTTTTTGCCCCGTTCCCCTCAGGAAGGAGGTTGAGGAGCATTAAGTGTAGAACCACTAGACTGAGGAACAGCTTCTACCCTGAAGCTGTTAGACTCATTAATCTCTAACCAGAATAATCACTGTGAAAAAAATCACTGTAATACCACGATTGCTGGTATGTGCTGTTGAGCCTATGCTGTTGATTTGTTTCACGCTGCTGTTTTCATTCGTACTCATCTGCTCACACAGTCTCATGTTCGTGCTACTGTTCGGCGTTTTGTTTTTGCACTATTAGTGCTTAGTGCATTCTTATTTTAGCATATTTCTTTGTTCATATCTTATATCTTATTACTGTTTTTCTTTTAAATGTATACTTTTTGTGGATGTAACTGGGACCCTGTGTACACAATTTCATTCCACCACATGGGGTGTGAATGAAAAAATAAAGAAACTTTGACTTCCTTAGTGTGAGGTTCTAAAAGAAACATTTTATTTTCACATATTTTGACCAGACACAGAGCTAAGCTGTAAATTAATGGAGGTGAAGCTGCTGAACAAGGTTATGGTCATCTGAAAAAAGGAGTTGCTCTTGGCTTGAAACATTTTTCCCAATAATAAAGATTGAGGCGCTTATGAAAGAGCAAGAAAACATCTTAGTAGACTGTCCTGATGTCTATATCAGGACATTTTGAACCACTTTGGCCAGGTTTGCCTTAGGCTTGGTTCTGTGACTAGCAAGCGGCCATCAGGGCACTAATGATTGATTGTTGGACTCATGGTCCTCCTTTTACATGTGAAAAGCTGATTCTGGAGGGCTCCAGCTCACTGGTGACCCTCATATATGTATATATATATATATATTACCTGTGGTGTGGTTCCTGAAGGCTAGGCTCTCAAACGAAGGGATGTCTGGGGTCTTTGAGATGATCTGCGTGTAATCAGATATGGCTCGAGTCACTGGATCACGGACAACCACAATCAGCTTCACATCTCGTGACATAGCGTGGATTCGTGGCGGCGTGTCCACTGTAACAAAGTAACGAGGCGTTTTCTCCATGACGATCTGGCCTTCAAGGGCTTTGGGCATCATCGTTCTGGAAGTAAAAAAAGACAGGAAGTCTACGTGTCATGAATGAGTCAGACTCATAACATGAGTTAAGTCACTGATTGCATACTGGTTCATGCAAAAACAGTTTCACAAAACTTTACGTCTCTGTCAGTTTCTCATTAAACATTTATGGTAAAGACATAGAACACCAGCAGCAAGCTGCAGCGATTCTGTTGCATCCTTGGGTCAAATCCTGCAGGAATTACAAATATATGGCAAACCATCCATGCAATGTGTAGTGAACTAGGCCTGAGGTCAAGTCCTGACCTTAAGGACCTTATGGGACAGAAACTGTCATTTCATTGATTTGAATCCAGAAATACAGGTTGACCCATCCTGAGACTTTCTTTCTTGAATTAATCAAGTTGAAAGAAGACTACTTTCGATTATCATTACTATTTTACAAATGTTTGATAATCAAATTGTGTTAGTTCAATCCATTTTTAAATGTTGAAGTGAACTACTCATTTTTAAATCAACTGTGAAACAGTAATAATGATTTTTAATCCTCATTCAAAGTGGAAATCAAGTTGGAATATGTTACAGAGTAATGATTCAATTTCTTGATCGGCTGTTTGAAATGAGCAAGTTGTGTAAGTTGGTCAAAGTTCAAGTTTCGGTCAACTGCAAGTTTACTGAAAAGGAAATGTCATGTTTAACTTTTACAGCAAGATACTAGAGAAGTGACTCCACGAAGTCTGAGTTCTTCATAATATCTTTTGTCTGTTCTTAAACAATCTTAATCTTTTTCCTTGACTTTTTAATAACACCTTACATCACAAAACACACCTCTGTTTTGGTCCATCGACCAATCAGAAACTCCCAAATGAACCAGAAATAGAGCTCTTTAAATGTTGGTACTTCCTAGTTCAACCCAGTTGGAGTCGGGTGGAGAGTTTGCAGCTCCAGTCGTTTGGGAAACAGGAAAATCCCGATATGATCCAGAGCTCTTCCGAGTATTGGGGATTATGACATCTTCCACCTCTGAGTGGAACTCTGACGGACTCCACTCATGTGAAGTCCACTCGTGAGGTGAACTGTTGTTGACGAAGTCCCGCCACCACTCCGGACGGTTCTCTGCCATCCTACGGAGACGCTGGACCGGTAGCGTAACTGGAGCTCCGCTTCCACTGATTCATCGTCAGAGAGGTAATGAGTCGAGTTCACTACCGAGCGTACCGAGGAAAGCTGGGTCGAATGGAAGGTGCCGTTCTGTTCAACACTTTTCACTCACACACACACAATCTCCCTCCCTCTAAACTTCAATCTTTAAAATTCTTCTATCCTGCTAGCAAATCATTCCAGATATTTTTAGAAATGTCTGAAGCAAAGTTTTTCAACCACCGCCGTGTGGTTAATGTCTGTGTGAAGCTGGAAGCAAGGTTTTCAACCATCCCCGTACGGGCCACCAGATGTAGAATGAACATATGCTGATATATATTCATAAATTAAACGGATTCTTTCATTTTTCTGGACTGTATAATGACGTGCATCTGAATTTAATAAAATGTGGACGGAAACGTTAATTATCTTTGACCCATCAAAATGAACGTGGTCATTTATTTTCAGAATCAAAATTTTAACATCATCACACATTTACATTAATTGGCAAAATATGAAAAATAACAACATGGCTTAATTTAGCAAGTTTTACAAGGAAGACCATACGGCGATGGTTGAAAACCTTGCTTCCAGCTTCACACAGACATTAACCACACGGCGGTGGTTGAAAAACTTTGCTTCAGACATTTCTAAAAATATCTGGAATGATTTGCTAGCAGGATAGAAGAATTTTAAAGATTGAAGTTTAGAGGGAGGGAGATTGTGTGTGTGTGAGTGAAAAGTGTTGAACAGAACGGCACCTTCCATTCGACCCAGCTTTCCTCGGTACGCTCGGTAGTGAACTCGACTCATTACCTCTCTGACGATGAATCAGTGGAAGCGGAGCTCCAGTTACGCTACCGGTCCAGCGTCTCCGTAGGATGGCAGAGAACCGTCCGGAGTGGTGGCGGGACTTCGTCAACAACAGTTCACCTCACGAGTGGACTTCACATGAGTGGAGTCCGTCAGAGTTCCACTCAGAGGTGGAAGATGTCATAATCCCCAATACTCGGAAGAGCTCTGGATCATATCGGGATTTTCCTGTTTCCCAAACGACTGGAGCTGCAAACTCTCCACCCGACTCCAACTGGGTTGAACTAGGAAGTACCAACATTTAAAGAGCTCTATTTCTGGTTCATTTGGGAGTTTCTGATTGGTCGATGGACCAAAACAGAGGTGTGTTTTGTGATGTAAGGTGTTATTAAAAAGTCAAGGAAAAAGATTAAGATTGTTTAAGAACAGACAAAAGATATTATGAAGAACTCAGACTTCGTGGAGTCACTTCTCTAGTATCTTGCTGTAAAAGTTAAACATGACATTTCCTTTTCAGTAAACTTGCAGTTGACCGAAACTTGAACTTTGACCAACTTACACAACTTGCTCATTTCAAACAGACGATCAAGAAATTGAATCATTACTCTGTAACATATTCCAACTTGATTTCCACTTTGAATGAGGATTAAAAATCATTATTACTGTTTCACAGTTGATTTAAAAATGAGTAGTTCACTTCAACATTTAAAAATGGATTGAACTAACACAATTTGATTATCAAACATTTGTAAAATAGTAATGATAATCGAAAGTAGTCTTCTTTCAACTTGATTAATTCAAGAAAGAAAGTCTCAGGATGGGTCAACCTGTATTTCTGGATTCAAATCAATGAAATGACAGTTTCTGTCCCATAAGGTCCTTAAGGTCAGGACTTGACCTCAGGCCTAGTTCACTACAAATGCAAAAATAGTAGTGATTCAATTCAATTCAATTCAAAAATACTTTATTAATCCCAGAGGGAAATTATATAATGGTGATGCAAAAGTAATAATAAAAAAAGAGCGTTTGCATCAACCGCTATGAAATTTTTTGAATTTTATTTTACTGAATCAGTTTTACATTGGTCTTTATTAACTTGTCGATCCAATCTGAGAGAACCATTCTAAAGTGGATCCCTGCCGTCTTGAATCTACTAATCTTTTTTGCAATTCATGCAATCTCTATTCTTTTGGATCATCGTCAGTTTTAATTCATATAGCAATTTAGTCAGAGATATTATGAAGTTCTAAAATAAGTCCAAGTAGCCACCACCGGAGGAGCTACACCTCGTGGCTGCTGCCACTATTTGCAAATAACAACATAATTTACTGTAAATAACAGTGTGTTGAGAAAACATCACTGCACAAATCTATGAACTAGCATTTACATGGGCCACATTAAAATGTCTATAACTTTTCCATTGAACACCGCTTCAAGACAACAGATTATTTAAAATTGATTATTTATTTTCAGACATCTATAAAGGAAAATAGCTCAATACACATTAATTAGGGAGATATGGTTAAGACAAAAACACAACAGGAAAACCCACTTAGTCATTTTGTGAATTTAATATTAAGCAAAGAAACCTCGTGAGCTGAGAAACACTTGCCTCTTTAGTCTGATGGTAAAGAATGACCACAGAAAAAAGGAAATAAAAGATTTATGCACAATGAGAAGAACTTGGACTATCTATGGTTAAAGGTGAGACCTGTCTCAGATGTGGATTGACCCAAATGTCCTACAGCATGTGGTAAAGACTTTATGTTTATTAAAGATAACACAAAGTCTGCTCCAACCAATGGACGTCGTGCACTGCAGTATGGTAGCACTGACGGGAGCTCCGCTTCGACTCAATCTTTTTTTGTTCCTGTTGTATTTGTCTTAAGTTTTTGCACCTACACTGCACACACATGTTACAGGTACAGTATGACTGCGGCGCACTTTTGGACTTTTGTGTGTCGCTGCCTTGTCATCCTGCCATCGTGGGTCAGTTCCCGGCCTCCTTCCTGCCTTGAACTCAAGCTCCGGCCTGTCATGGCTGCTATCTCCATGATCCTCCATCTGCCTGCACGGACCGAACTCTACAGAACAGTTTGGTTCCACGGGAAAATCTTATGTTCTGTGTCTGCCGAACCCAGTTCTGGAGGGTAGTCGTCGTCGCTGCTGCAGTCATTATTATCATCATGTTGCTAACAGGACTGCACTGCTAACAAGACCATGCCACTAACATTAATGTGACCATGTTGCTAAGAGAACCTCACTGCCAACAGAACCACTCTGCTAATAGGACCGTACTGCTGTCGATGTAGTTCTTTTTCACTTTTGGCGCCTTGTTTTTGTATCTTTGTTGCATGATTTGTTGTTTTTCTTGGCGAGTCAAGATGGTTCTTCTCATCCTGAGCATTTCATTGCATCGTTAACCTTGATCTACATATGACAATAAACCTAAACCTAGCCTAATCTAACCCTAACATCTCTCATCCTGTTAAAAACACCATCTCCACAGTGAAGCACGGTGACAGCAGCATCATGATGCAGGCTTGTTTTTCAGCAGCAGGAATTTGAAGACTGATCAAAGTACAAGAAACAATGAATGGAGCAAAATACAGTGAAATTCTTGACATGTTGAAGTCTTTCAGATGTTTGAGGCTGGAACAGACAAACACCTCTCAGCAGAACAATGACCCTAAACACACTGCCGGAGCAACACTCCAGGTAAATGTTCTGGACCGGTCCAGTTAAAGCCCAGACCTCAGTTCAAACGAGAAACTCTGGTTTGATTTAAAGCTTGTTACATTCTAGCAGCACTCAGCCAACATGAAGGAGCTGGGGCAGTTTTGTCCTGAAGAATGGACAAAAACTCCAGCGGCTGGATGTGTTGGGATCATAGAGACGTACCGGAACAACCCCCATCCTACTTTAACTTCAGTAATGGGTAGAGCTGAGTGCAGGTCCATAATCAGATTGAAAATCCGTGTAAATTCCAGGTTGTATGGCAACAGAATGGAAAGAATACCAATGTGGGTGAATACTTTTGGAACCTGCTGAACCTGTAAGAGTGAACCTGAA